CAGCAGGAACACTGGTGGTATCTCTGGGTGATGTGACAATGTGAACGCAGCTCTTGGTTTGCTCTAGTTTTGGTAGTTTGTTGTCTAACATAGGAGTCCATGGGAAAGAAGGCCTTTTTGGAGCTGCTTTATGTGTCAGCTTGTCACATCAACAGTGTTTTATAATGCAGCTTGTACGTTTGTAAGCATCAGCTGTAGCTAGGATGCGATTTGTTTCTTGTTGGTGCTGCTTTACTGGGTAAAAGGCTTCTTTTCGTCCCTTTACAGTGACTATTTGTTTTTTACAGGCACTTGGCTGCTTGCTGTATAAAATTTGTTTCTTTTCACTTCCTTTTGGAGAAAGTCAAGTTGCTATTTGCGATGGAAGCTTTACCATTCCAGACAATTCCCGATACTCTCATAGTATACACTGTTTGATAAGTAAGTATCTGGGCAGCGTGGCCAGTTTTTTGCCTCGTAAATCAGTTAAAACACGGAAGATCTCGCGGATGTCGGCAGGTGACTTGGATGGGTGGCGCAGACTGGCTGAGTTGAGTGAACAGTGGGAGTTGTTCCTGGCTACCATCTGTCTTGCAACTCCTGCTCTTGCCCTTGAAAGGAGGCTTGCTTATCTGTTTGCTCAGCAGAGGGCTGTGCCACAGGGTGCAGAACTGAGGTGCCATCCTAGAGAGGAATCTCAGAAACCTAAAGGAAACCTCTTGGAAATGGTGCTAAAAGTGAGCCTGGTGAATGAAGTACGAACAAGTCTTCCTCTGGGACAGCTGATGTTAAAATTGGCTACTGTATTCTGGGCATTCAGTGGATGAGTTGATAACTTCATAGTTGAGACAGAATAAAACAGTGCAAAGACCTGCCAGATTAAATTATACTGCTCAAGTCAGAAGAGCTTTGTTGAAGTTAGAAGGGCTTTTTGGTTTCTTTGGGAGGCATGGATGATTTTTTTTTTCCTTAGGTGGCCATAAACCACAAAGGGTTAGTTTATTCATAGTTCCTTTTTGCTCTTAAGTGTGTGTTTTCTGTGGAGTGTCAGACTGTTAATAGTATTTGAAGTGCGAGTTCATAACAAAAAAAAAACCTGATAAAGTTTGTACCACACAAAGTGTCAGAAACAAACTCTAGCAAAAGTTTGAAAGTCGAAAGAGGAAGAATGAAGGAGAATTTTGGACAAGAAGCGGCTCTGAGGCTAGCGGTTAGTCTGTTATCCAAGTGCAGAGATACAGGATCTCATATTTACAGTAATAATGAGTGTTTTCAGTTGTCTTTGTTTTCAGCTTCGAGCAGGTTAACTTGAATAAGAGTGTAACTGACAGAATATGGAAAATTCAGGAAGTTTGAATAGGAGCTTGTATGATTGATTTCTAAATTAAGAATGTGTTGTCCAAATAGTTTATGCTTTCATATAATAGGAAATAGCAAATCCAAACAGTGTCTTTTGAGCACACATTCATAACTGAGAAATAGCAGTTAGCATGGTAAACACTTAGCCTCTGCAAATACTTAATTGCCAAAATGAGATGAATTTTCAAGTGATTAAATACTTATCTCTGGGTTAGAGTGCTACTTTTAGAAGAGCATAGGTTTTAATCCTGTTGTCTTGTAAGTATGAATGCTTGTTTATTAAGATTCAATGAACTGCTGTGCCAAGATGAGCGTTAGTGGCATGGGATATATGTGGGTGGGGAATAATCTCATAATACAAGCTTCCCTTCTTTCCGTTTTGAATGGAAGCTGAAAAAAAAGCTGCACTTGGTCATAAAAGTTATGTCAGGGACTTCTCTGCTCTTTTACAAGGCAGGGGATGGGGAGCAAGAAGCTGAATGTACTTCACCTCATAGATCTAATATGTCAGAATCAAGTGGCAGGAGTCATTTCACGATCAGTGTTCTGTTTCCGTTGAATGGTACTGTCACTGCAAGTTTAAATCCACTTTATTTTGTAAAACCCACTAAAAATAAAGCTTGCTGTGAACTATATTTGCTGTGAAATGATGGCTTTAAGTAAAATTGTAAGATCTGTCTCTAGATATGATATTAGGGCTTTGGATATGATCCTAAGGTTTAGTAAAAAAGTTCCTTCAGTACTTCTTACAAAATCTTATGTAAGGATAGCTGTACTACTGAACAGTTTTAGAAATGTAGCTCAGTTTTCTTATCAAAACTGAGAACTTAAATGTTCATTTTCTTTGTAGCTGAACATATTTTTAGAGGCTTAGCTCGTTTAGAAAGTATCCTTCACTGTTTAGGTTCTCGGTAATTTAGGCAGGATTTGCTGACTATGTACTCTGTATCGTTTTGTTAACAACATCAATAACTTATTTGCTTGAAAACCCCTAAACCTTCTGATTTCGGAAGCTAATGTTGGAGAGGGACAGCAGAAATTCTGTGACTGGTCAGGAAAAAGTCCTTTTATCCATGGAACTATTTTTTTTTTAATTCAATATACAAAAGCATGCATACCCTACTAAACCTGCAGGACAAAAGATGTAGAACCTTAGCTGATGCAGTTAGATATATCTGTGTATCTTCTGTTAGCTACATTAAATTTTGTAGTAGCACTAGAAAATACTAGTACTATGAGTTGGTTTTATGTTGTTTCTCTTTGAAGTTATTAATTACTACTTGAGTTTAGCTATGCTTTCAAGTACTGAGTGTCCAAATATCAAACAGTATATGTCTTCTCCAATTGTGTTTGACCCTAGAAACTGTATGACTTGACAAAAAGTATTTAAAAAAACCCAAACAAAACAAAACAGACAAAGAGCAACATAATGATTAAAATGACTCTTTGTGGGGTAAGCTCATTTGGTGGAACTGCTGAATTTCTTCTTGCTGGTAGCATGCTGTCTCAACAGGCTTTTTGATATCCACTAGTCATAGTTTGGTCTTACAATTTTTGCAGGATATATGCTTGAACCAGATCAAGAGCAGAGACCTGATATCTTTCAAGTATCTTTCTTTGCCTTTAAACTTGCCAAAAAGGATAATCCAGTGTCTAATATTAATGTAAGTAGTCTTTAATTTTTTCTGTATTTTCGGTATATTTTGTAGGTAGCATTGAGAAAATTCTCTCAAGTCAGCCGAGAGAGATTATTTCAGTTTATTCATAAACTTTGTTCCTAAATTTAAAACATAGAGCAGAGTAAATGTCAAGCTGCTATTGTGTACAGACAGTATTAGCTCTCAAAACAAAATATTTTGAGGGCATAGCTTCTTGAGTTATATTGATACTGCACCAATACTTGACTTAAAACTTTAACCTTTACTTGTCTCTTGAGTCAAAAACAATTAATATGAAATATACTACAGAACTTAAACTTCTTGAGAATAGAAGGTTTAGTGTTGTAACAGTAGTGTCAAGAGCATTTATGTTTTTTCTTGGTAAACCCTTTTTCTTAATCATCCTTAGCCATTATGTTAATCCATTGGAGGGGCTACAGTGAACTGGAAGGCAACAGAGTAGTGCCTCGGTTAGTCTGCATTCCTAACCTTACTTTCCGTGTGAGTTCGAACTTTGAAAGTCTGAACTTTCTATCAAAGATCACATCATTCGCAGCTGCATTGGATGCACCTCATGACTGTGCAATGGAATTTGAGTGCACATGGATGATGTTCAGTATTATAAAGTGATTCTCAAGATAGGCATCAGGAAAAATCCATCTCAAAAGGGATTTTGGAACAGATGACAGTTGTAATAAACTCTGCCTTCAGAGGCAGATGAGTGAACTTACTCAGAACCTTCTAAATTCCTTTATCAATGGTCCTTGTAGAAGAAGGTGCTCAGTAAGTGTGAGTGGCGCTATTTGGAAACTTAGGTTAGAAAAATCAGAAAACCTTGAAGTGCTTACTGTTTGTAGGTAAAGGCTAAATTTGAAGTGGTTTGAATGGTTTGGCATTAACCGTACTTTCCCTTGAGTATTTTATCCTGAAATATGAACAAATCTTGACATAACTTAATTTGGGAATTTACTACGTTACTCATCAGAGGAATAGTATCACCTCACTCAGGTGACTTGAATAGGTCTGTTTCTTGGATCTTTTTCTCCTGCAGATAGGAGTTGCCTGCTTATGTGGCCCTTTGGCCTGTAGCAGACATAGAAAAGTAAAAGTGCCTGGAGTATTTCTACGAAGCGAAGCTGTTTGGGGGGTGTGTATGTGTGTGTTTTCCACTGGAGTGTTAAAACAGTGGTAGGAGCAGCAGTCCATGCTCTGTCTTCTGTTGCTGTTGATTTCCTCTGGTAGTGCTTGCCCCTCTAGCTTTCACAGCTGCCTTAAAAGAGAAGCAGCACAGAAATGCGCATATGCACATGAACCCTCCCCCTCGAACTTTTGTGAGAATATAAGAATGACTGTTATAGGTCAGAAGAGGGCTTGGATGAGTGTGGTGTATTGTGTTTGACAGCAGCTTATTATTTTTTCAGGGGAAAGTCAGAAGTATGCCTGTCTGTCTCTTTCCTAGACCCTTGGCTAATTCCAGAACTGATGGTAGTCTACAGAAGCAGTATTTGATATTAACTCTGTCTCTACTGTTTGTGACCAGATTGAGATTTGTGTCTTTTTACGTAAGGGGTTAGTGCATGTGTAATTAGAGGTAATCTTCCTCCTCCCTCCCACAAAATTGCCATTTTCCATGGTAAAACGTGGTTTAGATGCAATGAATTCATTTAGGAACTTGACTGAGATGGCGATAAGTTAAAGGACCGTAGAAGCTTAGATGCTGTGCGGTTTTCTGGAATTTGTGTTGCAGTGGAAGAGCTGAGTGTGCTAAAAAAACCTACTGTTTTATCCAAAGCTTAGGCTTAGTTCTTAAACTTAAGGCTAAAATGATTTTGTGCAGTTACAGGAAAACATTTGGAGGAAATGTTTTCCTTCATTGTTGATAGTGAGTAAATTGAAGTAGTTGACAAAACAGTCAGATCAGTAATGTTTTGTTATACTTTTGCACCTGATAAGAGAACACAGAGATACTCTTAAATTAAAACACTTTTAATCTACAGCTGTGTGGGTGAGTTCTGCATGAAACCTTGTGACCTGAAAAACTTGAACCCAAGTATTCCTTTTCAATATGTAATGATTTTTTCTTTCAGGATTTCATTTTTTAAAAAATTTATTCAAATTTATTTTTCCCAAGAATTCTCCTGTCCCTTCAACTCTTCCTGAACCCGTGACAGCTAGTGAGGCAGCTGCTAGAAAAAGCCAAATAAAAGCAAGGTGAGCAGCGGATCTGGCTTTACTTTTTGTTTTGTAATATTGTTAAGCTGCATGTTTGTCTGAAACCTGTTTTCATATGCTTGTTAATGAACAAAGAATTACCTTAGTAGCAGAGGTCATTAGAATAGATAACTGCAATTCTAAGAGCTTCAAGTCTCTCTTTGGATTTAACTCCATCGCTTTTTTCATTGTGTTGAGAATCCACAGAGAGAACCCGAGAGAGAGCCTGTTTCATAGTGGAATAAGTAAGTGCTAGGAGTCTGTTGCTGATCTGCTTTATTTTCTCCTAGTGTGATAAGTGAATTTTGAAACAAGTTATTTAATGACAGGTGAGGATGGTATGGTACAGGTAAACTTTTCTTAGGAGTTTTATTTAAATGTGCAAATCCAATCTGATTGCTGAAGGTAAGTGGGTTTTGTTCTTTCAGAAATTCTGAGGTTTGTACCAAAATACTCTTTTTGTTATACTTCTAATAAAACCAAAGCCTTGGGAATTCCTAATCATGCTTTTTATTTCTGACATAGTATATTGTATATGCTTAATGCTCATGCTGGAAGAATCCTTTACGCTTTCATTCCTTGTTCATAGAAGTTGTTAGGGTGGTGCATCTACCAGCATGTGACTTGGGTACTTCAGTATTCAGCTATAATTATCAGCTCTGTTTCAACTCTGACTTCATTAGTTTGTTGTGAATGAGAAGCAAATTAATGGACTCATCTAAGCTGTGTTTGAGCTATGTAGATGTGTCTGTGGCATTTTAAGGTAATGTCATAGTCTGGGCATGGTTGATTTTGCTGGCTTTGATGTCAGTTGGTAACGTAAAGCAGGGGGCAGGCATAAAGTATCTATGGAATAAAGTTGTAAACTCCAACTAAATCTCCTAGATGATAGTAGGAAGATTCATAGTTCTCCCTAAATATTGTTTTCCTGGCGGTCCTGGGTTGCAGCAGGTGAAGGCAGATGGTGTCTGGATATAATATGGTAGGAACCAATATGAGGAGTTAGGTACTAGAGCTTAGATGGTAAATTACTGGTTTTAAGCAGTTGGACAGTTTTACAAAATTAGTATACTGTAACCTGAAAATGGGATTAAAGCTGAGAAGTACTTGGGTTCTGAACATCTTAATTGCCCTGTCAGATTATTATACAGTTCTGAAGTACTGCAGGGAAGATGCAAATATTTTGAGCAGTTTATGGGTGTTATAACTGCTAGAGGCTAAATCTCTAAAAAGGTAGAAATGAGTTGTCTTAACAGATAAGATTTTTCTTAATCTTATTTCTTGTACGGATGAAGAGTAATTGTATCTCTAGTCACAGAATTGCTGACTCAGTCGCTGCACATAACTTTGCACTCACTACTGTGAACTGAGGAAAGCTTATGCAGAGAAACTTCATCTAGTGTCATGGCCTCCTCGGGGAATAAGGCTGTTGCATAGCTCCTTAATGGTGTTCTGCAGCAGTCGTATAGCCTATGGCTGCAATGGGTGATGAGGGGAATTTTAGGAAGCAAATGTTAAGGTATTAAAATCCAAATCAAAAGTAGAGCAGTACCTGGCTAAGACATAACGGAGTTATTAAACTATGTACTGTGTCTAATTTGGAGAAGAAAGTCTTTTGTTTATCAGGTCTTTCCTGTGGGAAAACTTGCCATTTCAGAATAACGGATACTGTTGGACCAACAGAAACCTCAATAGCACCGCGACAAAGACCAAAGGCCAATTCAAGCACTGCCACTTCTAGTGTGCTGACAATCCAGAGCTCAGCAACTCCAGTCAAAGTACAAGTTCCTGGTGAATTTGGTAATCGTGGGCAAAAAGGTAACTTAACAACATCTAATGACAGACCAAAATAAATGGAGAATTAATTTTGTATTGCTTTTCCTTATTTCTCTAGTAGGGACAAGTTTAGAACTGAAATTCATCTGCTTTTTTATATGCCAAAACCCAGATCTTCAGCTTTCTGAAAGACTCTGAACGTGCAAGTAATAAGTTTGACCAGGTGCCATAAAAACTAAATGCAAATTGTTATGAAGTGAAGGTGCGTTTTTCGTTGTGCTAAACACTGATTTTGAACTGACTTTCCCACTGCAGACTGTGAGAGATGTTCATGCTCAGTTTTGACTTGAAAAATCATTCACAAAAAGCAGATCTCTTCTGTAACAAACTGCCTTCGTTGTAGTAGGAAAAAGACTTTCCCTGTGCCTCAATAAGTCATACCAGCAATATGTTGGTATTATTAGTAGGCTGGAACCATTTAAAAACTTCTCTAGTGGTTGACAGATGCACCCACAGCACCATGTGAAATGTAATAGAGGGGCAACAGAGGAGTAATTGAGGGAGACTTGAGTGAAATGGATTTTCAGTAGAGCCTTTTGAGTTTTTCTTTATTTCATTCATAAAGAGTTATGGCTCCCATATAAATGGAAAATGTTTATGTGAATGTTTATCTTTAATAGTTTCTGGTTGCTCTCTGTGATGTTATGTGTCTGTTAGAGTACAGGAAGAGTTGCTTCAGGGATGATGTTGGGAAAGCCTCCAGTCAGAAGGCCACTGACAATGTTTGTGTCCCAGATGTAAACAACTTTTATTAGACAGGGTCCAAGTAATGTCCAACTTGGAAAGCTTTTTCTGTTATGACAAGGAATAGATCATTCCTGGGCACTTCAGAGTAGAAATACAGCATGTGAGAGAGATGGATTTATGTTAGTAGCTGCTTACTTAAAAGGCTGCAAAAACAATTGAATGGTGAAAATAGCCAAGTGTTCTGTTTAAGGGAGTCTGACAAGTGAGCCAATAGTTCCCTTAAAAACCAAACAAACTGTATCCGTGAAAATGGTATGCTTTCAGGGTTAGGGTTTGAGATACTAGAAGGTACAACTTGAGTGTTAGTAAAGCAGAAGTCTTGAACCCAGCTTCCTCTGTCGTGAGACCGAAGGAAGCTTCCTGCATCTTTTAAGTAGAAATCGTTCATTGATGGGCCTAGAATTTTCGGAGCCTCGATCTTGGTATCTACCAGCTGTACTCGTCATCAGACTGGGAAGGGAAGTTCATAAACTGTTTCACCTTGAAGTGTTAAATAAAGAGGTTAACTGCCAGGGAGCTCTTTAGCTCAGCTTCAGAGATCAGTATGTCAATAGTGTTGTTTGAATATCGCAGGAACCATGCGACCAGGGAATGGACAAGAAATCTTACAGTCCCAAGGGACCAACCAGCACCCACCACAGCAGAACCGAGTTCTCCAGCAGCTGCAGCAGGGCGACTGGAGACTACAGCAGCTACACCATTTACATCACCAGCAACAGCAGCAGCCTACGATTCAGGATGCTTACATTCAGCAGGTACAAGTCAGATCTGTTAGACAAGTTTCAAAGAGACACATTACGTTTGTTAATAACACTTGGAATCGTGTGCTAGTTAAATATTTCTGCTGTTGTGGCCTATTTTTTTTCCTGCTAGAAGAGAGAAGGGGATCATGGCTCCTGCCCCTTCTTTTTAGCTTTGATTTGTCCCTTCATAGGCATTGTAATGCTTATCCTAGAAAGTTTCTTTCTTTGTGCTGTCTTGTGTTATTCAGTTTGACCCTGAATCCCAGCTTGCTTGGAATCACCACTGTGTGGCCCAAAAAAAGGTTTTGTGTGTGTAAACATGCTTGAGATAAATGTTAGGAGTTAGCTAGGTGACGATGCTATGCGTGCAGTAGATGGTTGTACAAACACTGAGTAGGCGTTTTGCAGTTTTTGCTTTCTTGAATTTTTCTTGTTGGTGAAGAGCTTCTTCCTTTCCGTGATTCTTCTGTCCGCCCAGATTTTTCATGGATACCATGTAATCTAACACTGTCCAGCTTGCGCACAGTCAAGTATAATCGCTTATGTTGCATAGCATACATAACTGTAAACGTAACAGAAGAGTAGCTAGGTCAGACAAGAACTTTCAGATCCTGTCCAGGACACCTGTTGCTATGCCTTCCCCTCCCCCCCCCCAAATGATGAGACATATTATCCTTTGAAGCACCGTTGAATTATTGTCCAAAGGGGCTCAGCACTGCTGAAAATGGCAAAAGTTGGGATGTTAATTGGCCTGCCTTAGAAAAGGCAGTGCTGAACATGTAGTCTTAATTTTTTTTGTTTAGCAGGCTGGTATTAATGGGGGCAGGGCGTGGGCTGGGGGAGCTTCCAAAGAGACTCATTAAAATGCAGTGGCTGAGGTGCTGATTCTTGGTTATGCGATGTCTTAAATGAAAAATGCTGTTGAGTCTCAGAAGTGATATTTTAACTGATGCTTCTTCTAAATATCTGGATATATCGAAAGGGGGGATCATGACCTCTTAAAGCTGTTTTCTTTTCAACTACAGTATCAACAAGCAATGCACCAGCAGATGGTCCAACAGCAGCTGTTGATGCAGTCTGTGTACCAGCAGCAACCTTCCCAATCTCAGTATCCTGCTATGGTATGTCAAGAATGGAATGTAGATGGGACAATCTTAAAATACGTGCCTGTAAGTCTGTTGTGAAGATGCAGTGAGAGAAGTTTGTGAGTAGTTGTAGTGAGCTGTGGACACGGTAAATAGTGTGAAGATGAGCATCTAGAATAATATTCAGTTGGGGGGAAAAAAGTTAATCCGAAGTTGTTTGCAAAAGCTTGTCTGGAGTTTGACTTCTGTATTAATCAGACGGGTTATATCTGAAATTTCATTAAGTAGGCATCTATTAACTTGAAACATACTTGATGTTTAAGGTTACCAGTAGCGACCACAGCAATGAATGTATGTTGTGCTACAGAGTGATAGAAGACATGGTGGCATCAAATTCCTATGTTAAAAGTGAGAAAGCTAACTGGCATTATCCGCTCTTTAGAAGTCAGGAGAAATTGTCCTAAAATTTTGATGATTAATATTTAAGAATAGGGTTCCATAAGAACTAATTTACATGCAGTAGCATGTACTTAGGTTGCAATAATGACAAAAAGTTAAATGGTATCACTGACCTGTTAGGGCAGTTTCTTTTCATCCATGTAGTGGGTAGGTCTGGCTTCTTGCTTCTGCTGAAGCTACCAAGCTCTTCTGCAGCATGGTGGTTGTTAGTGCGTTTGGCTGCAAGGCTGGTACTGTTGCTTAGCAGAAGAGATTCACACTGGCCCAGGTGAATTTTGGTAACATGGTGATTATCTTACTTAGGTGCAGCAGTATCAGCAGGCTCTCCTACAGCAGCAGATGCTTGCTCAGCAGCAGCAGCGGTCACAACAGGTGCAGTCTCCTGAATATATCACTTCTCCACAAGACTTCTCACCAGCCTTAATCTCCTACCCTGGGTCACTTCCAGTGCATGCTGGAACAGTCGTAGATTCTCCCTGCCCTGCAAGCAGGCAAGTATTCTGACACAGATGAACCCAAAGGTTAGTTAGTGCTTATATTCCTAATTACGATGAGCCCTACCGAATCCTTGCTTCAATAGTAAGGTATTACTTAAAGCAGTTGGATAGTTGCTGTTTAGTGGTAAAGGATATTTTTGGGAGGAGGGTGGGACACTTAACTTGTTAATGGATGAGCCTGATGCAACTTCTTAAAGAACCTGTTTTCCACTTTTTCTTACTCATGGACTTATTCCAGGAACTGACTGCTAATCCTTTGCTTAGGATGGTCAGTAGCCAATCTTGAATGAGGTTATGAGCATGTGAAAGTCACCTCTAACACCCTGTTAAGAGATGCCTTATAATTGGTATTTATTTGTTAGGGCTTCTGACTCTTGTGTCTGTTGATCAGTGGTCTGACTTAAGGATTTTACATGATGAAGTACCCCTTATGAGCAATATGGTCCCTTTGCAGGGGCCTGCAGATTTACTCTTGCTTAATAAGGTATAATAAAAAATGTCTTACCCATGAATTCTTACAAAAACCAGTGTGTGGAATAAGAAAAACTTCCTTTTCTCATTTAAAAATAAGAAAGTCACAGACTTGTCCAGTTTCACTAATATTATGAACTATGTTACGTATTTATATTGGCTCCTCTTAGACTAAATCGAGAGAGAAGCCCTTTGCTGTCATGGGAATGCAGCAGTCTGATGTGCAGTCAGTCTTGACACAGGCTTTCGGTTAACAGCATGACTTAAATGTGCTGCTGTTCTTAATCTCTTCTAGGTTACAGTGTGTTGAAAGAGTAAAAGGCAAAATATTTTCCTGCTGTAGGCTGGATTGATATAATGCCATGTATCGCTGCAACCAGTTTGGCTTCATCTTGCCAATTATGTGGTCTAATCCCTAGCAGAGAGCGCTGTCCTGCACTTCTGTGCCCATATCTGAGACTTGCCAGCTGTACTTTGATCAAGTCTATTGCCAGAGTGCTTTTGTCACACATAACTTCTGAAAGGAATCTTTCCAATCTGGATGGATTTACAGATATTTCCAGTTTCTCTTCTGTGTGTTTGGCTGCAGATTTTGATCCTGCTGTTTAGCTTAAAGCCAATGGCTACAGGTTAGCAATGGTTTGCAATGCATAAGGTTGATCTTGTAATTAAAATATACAACGTCTTATATTAAAGGAAGGAGCAATGAGTTTCTTCTTCACTTGACGTACTAAATGAATTATTGTGTGTTGTCCTTCTCTCAGTAGAAAAAGCCAGTAGTGTTGTGCAATGGCAGCACCCAAGTTGACAGGAGCGAGCCCCTTCCCCTTACTTTTGTCTTGAAGAGGTGGTTCCATGTGGAGCTGGGCTGCAGGTGTGGCCTGCGGAGCCTGGCTAGGCCTAGAGAAAGCACCAGTTAGCATGCAGTAACTTGCTGATTGTGGCTTTTCCTGCTTCAGACAAGCAGGGAAGTGTTAGGCGTAACTTGCTAAAACGTGTGTGAAAGGTTTCCTTATCTGTGTGGATAAGTCTTATAGAAGCAGAAGCTGTGATGTCAACTGGTTAATTCTATTAGTTGAGTGGATGTAGGATTCAAAGACACTTAACTGTGTCTGCCAAGAAAAAAAAAACAATTTGAAAATAATGAGAACTCATGAAAATGCCAAACATATTTAGTTGGTAGGGTTTTTTTTTTTTTTGAGAAAAACAAGACAGTCTCCTATGGCAGTATGGGTACGACCACAGGTGAAATACAGTTTTTGCCCTTGTGTGTTACTTGTTAAAAGGTTCTGTGCTTTGGCTACAGTTCGTAAATTGAAAAATAAAAGTCCAAGGATCGCATACAGAAATGATGTGATCAAACCACATATTTCAAGTGATCTGTTTTCCCTTAAGTTAGCTTTCAGATGCTTTTGGGATAAGCTGTTAATGCACATGTGTTACTTGTATGTAGTGTTTTGGCATAATGTCGTAGATGTTCATCCTGATAAAAATCCTGTAATATTTCTCTTTATTTGCTTCCATGAACTGACTTTACAGGTCAGGTATTCGTGATGCTGAAGCAATTGCCAGTTACCCAAAGCAGAGCATCAATAACCCACCTGATATGTCAGGCTGGAACCCATTTGGAGAGGACAATTTTTCCAAGTTGACAGAGGAGGAGCTGCTGGACAGAGAATTTGACCTGCTAAGATCAAGTAAGGGACGCTTGAAGGCTTAATTTTGCTTCAGAGTAGCTAAGGGCTCTGTAGTTGCTCTGTGGTTCCAACAGCTGTCTGTGGAAAGGCTGTGCAGTCTGGGTACAGAAAATTCTTTCTGAGCATTTGAGGGCGGAGTTGGGCCTGTCGTCTTTCTTTCCTTTCCTTTTTGAAAATGTGTGCAATAGGAACTCACTGTTTAAAATTCATAGTTAGTGGCTGAAATAGTGCAGAAATGGTAATATCTTAGCTCTGAAGTACTGCTTGTCACCTTGGTAGTCAAGAAGCTCTCAACAGCAGAGGTATGTTGTCAGATAGGAAGACAAGTTTGGCTGCTTGCTTAATTCCTTTCCAGCTTTTTTCTTGCACACCAGAGCAGAAGATTCTGTGGGTCTGATATGTCCTTTGAAAATGCCTGAAAGAAAATTGATCTCTTACATTATGTTAATGTTTTGTAATGTCCTTTTTGATGAGTGGCTACATGTAAGGGCTGCTTTATTGTTCTGGTATGGCAATAGTTGAATAAACTTTTTCTTCTTGAAGTCAGTTATCTCAATGGTTTTTACTTGGAATTACTTCCTTTCCTTAATGGCTTAACACATGCTTGTTAGATGCTCTTCCTAAAACTGTTTCGTCAAGATCAGCTTTATTAGTGAGACTTGTAAGATGTGCCAGTGTCAAAAGACAGATTGTATATACTTGGCTGACTATCAGCAAGTTTCTTGGAATTAAAAATGCAGTAAACTTGAATCTCAAGTAATAGGAAAAAAACCCTACCGCACTACATCTTCAATTGACTCTTCGTCTTCTTGGATTTCTGTCCTTTAATGTAGCTGAACAAGGTGTGTGTATTATCTTTTAATCCTTAATGAAAGTGATGGGGTTTTTTGGGGTGGCTTTGGATTTCTTGGTGTAACTCACTTGATGGTTTCAACTTATATCCTGTGTTGATCAAATAAGACTCCTATTTTTGAGATGTGGATGTAGCCTGTGCATATTTTACAGTAAAATGACTTGCTGCTAGCTGGGGGAAACTGATAATGTACCAGCTGAAAAATAAGCATTGTTTCTGAATCCAAGTATAGAATTTGAAATTACTTAGTAGAATGGAATATCTTTAGGCATGTTGCTTCCAGCTGAAGCTTTAGAGGTCTTTTGAAATAATACAGTCTTGAATCTGGAGAAGGTTAGCTTGAACCAAAAAGATGGCACAATGTTACCCATTTCCAGAATCTTAACTGACTGTTGGACTGCTGACTGTAGATATGGTAAGTTTTATGAGACTTATTTGGGTAAGCCACATATTTTGAACAAATATAAGTACAGAAGAAGATATTCACCAAGGACATCTTTCAAGTGGCTTTACATAAAAACTGGAAAATGCTATACAAGAAATAAACTTGCCTGGAGTAGCTCAATAGGCTGGTTATAGTGAGAAGGGGAAATAGAAGATCATTGAATCGTTTAGGTTGGAAAAAACCTTTAAAATCATTGAGTCCAACTTAACCCAGCACTGCCAAGTCTGCCACTAAAACGTGTCCCCAAGTGCAATGTCTGCATGTCATTTAAGTACCTCCAGGGATGGTGACTCCATTTTCCTGGGCAGCCCATTCCAGTGCTTGATAACTCTTTCGGTGAAAATGCTGAATTGTATTCAGACAGTTGGACTTAAAGGACAGAATAACTTGGAGCTGAGTGCGGCTAACTGCTGTCTCTAAATCTCCAGCAGAAAGAACAGCTAACTAGTACTGTAACTGTTATCCAGTTCTTGTACTACTGCATGTGTGAAAATAGTCTGAAGTTTTGAAGGACTAAATCTATTTTGGCATGTTTTTGGCTCACCCCTTAGTGGAGATAAATCAATTCACAGAAGAGCTGGATGTGATAATAAACTTCTTGTGCTGTATCAGAAAAATAAACCTAACAGCATAGTTTTGCTCAGTGATAATAAGCATTAGAGGCTTATTAGTCAGTTGAATACAGAAAACGTAAAAATAAAACGCAAACAAAAAACCCACGTCTGGCTTGGCCAGTAGCACACTAGATGGCAGGCTTGGTTATACGGAACCTGAGATGCAGTTACAGCTTTGCTTGGCCTCGTGGCTTGGTTTCTGTTAGAGGTCTGGGGAGAGGGAGCACTGCCAGCTTCAGTCTCAGTGCATGTGTGTTGGTATGTACACAGAGATGCATAGTTCAAAGAATTCAAAGACCTAACTGTGTTTTTTGGTATGAAGGATGTTGTGCCAAAGATCCTGTGAACTTACCTTGCAGTGTTCATGCCTTTACTCAGTCAAAGCAGAAATATTTATACCTAATTTTGCCTACTAGTACTTTCTCAAACTTAGGTAGGTTAATGAAAAATTGGGAGATTTATTGTACAATTAAGGCTTATAGCCACAGAATTGTCTTCAACTGTATAATACTTTCTGGAATGCCTTCAGATGCATCTTAAAGATAAGGTTTAATTCTTTTTAGATGTAGGTTATCTCTGATGAGAGAAAATGGCTGTTGACTACTAAGTAATTTTTTTGCCCAATCTTTGGGTTTACTGTGAATCATTTTGGCATCTAGAGAAAGGAGAATTGAAGATACAGGTTTGATAAATTGTTCTATTTGCTGTTAGTAAGCCCAATTGCTGTCATGTACAGTGTTATATAAGTCTGTCTTTCTGTGATTTTATGTGGTGCTCAGTAGCATTCAAAACATGAATGCTTTCTTTCCACTTTTAAAAGCCTGGTTTGTGTTTTTAGGCTGGTGCATTACACATAAATTAAAAATATTTTAAAATCTGTCAGATATCTTTAAAGCTGTTGTATTCATGACAGTAGTAGACAATTGATTAAATATACACAGCCTTTGTTAGAGGATTCGGACAGCATCATAATTTCGGGCTAGCGTTACCTTTCGATTTTGGGCATTTAGTAGCTGAATGTCATAGTGTGTGTAGTGATGGGTATTGCTGTGATGATTAATCACTTTTCCTTTAAAAACGAAGCGAACTCATAGAACGAAATACCTTCTTATACTTTGTGAAAGTTTCCATAGTAAAAAGGTGACAGTTGCAGTAAAAAGTAATGTGCAACTGAATGAAAATTCCTGAACTGAGCACCCTTCTGGAGAACTTGGATATGGAGTTAGAGGGTGGAGTTCCTGGTTTTTGTTGTACATCGCTGTTTCTCTGTTGTTATCATCAGTATTAATGATGGCCCAGAAGCAACATGTCATGCTGAGATGCTGACAAGGTTGTGAAGAAAGGGTTTTCTTACAAAGAACACCTGTAACCACTTAATCTGTGCAGAATTGGGAGCCAAGAAAAGGAGCCTGCTTTCTCACCGGGAGAAAAAAGTACTAACGCAGCCTTCATGCTGAATTGCACAAATATTCTTGTTAGGCCCAGAATCATGTTGGTGCTTTGACAGAGGCACCTGTGGGTGCGAAGCCTACAAAGCTATCTGCCCTTCTCCTTTGCAGTACGTACGGTATGAAAGAACTACCTGGGCCATCTGTGCAGGAAAGAGCTGTGGTTCTTGCCAGGCTGTCTGTTTCTCATACTTGGGAAAGCACGGAGACAGCTGTCTCCTGAGGACTCGGGCTGCAACTTACATGGAAACAGCTAGATTCCTTGTTCGTGGTTTTCAATAACTGCGCCGCTCGATGGAAGGGTCTGCAGTGCCATGTGGCACATGATTGTGTGTCTGGCAGCAGTCTGGGCTGCATTCGTACGATTATTCATTCAGGGAAAAAAATTGGGTCTTCATTCAAAGAAAGTTGTGTCTGAAGCACAGTAATGTCTAATACTGACAATCCCTCTGTATGTACTTCTGCCTGTGCAAAGCTGGAGAAACCATCACTGTCTCTTCTCTCTCAAACACTGATAAAGAGAAGTGGATCTTGTTATGAGGAGGAAATGATACTTATGCCTCAGAAGACTGGAGGAATGGCTTGTTCTCTTCCAATAGCCTTAGATTTGATGAACTGACAAATTTTAAACTTGATTTTCCAGGGAAATGTGTGTATATGCCTAGGTGCCACGGAGAAGTTGAAACCTTGTATTTACTCCCTTGCCCTAATTTTTCTTGCATGCTTAGCATTTCAGTGCATTTTGTTTTCCACTGTCCCTAGCCTTGCTGCTCAAGTGGAAGATGCAATCATCTAGAGGCTTGAACTTGTGTAGTCTTGCATGCTGGCGTTGGCAGGGGCTCTCCAAAGGGTGGTTCGAGTTGTTGCCCCCTTAAAAGTTACTCTAGAGTTTGGCTGCAAACTGTGCAGCAGTCAACTGACTTTCCTCTGGAGGTGAGAGGACAATAGAACAAAAGTGTTCCACATTCTGCATTTGTAAAGATGCAAGTTGAAGGTTGCTTATGTTTCCTCTAAAACAAAACTGAAAAAAAAAACCAAATCCCAAAGCAAAACACTGGCCACACACCCCCTTAGCGACCCGCTCCCCCCCCCCAACCAACCCAAAACCCAAACAAACTGCAACACCACTCAATCAAAAACCCCAAACCAAATCCTTCCTCCCTGAGGAGAGAAAGCAAGGTTGGTACAACCGTACAGAATTGGGAGTAAGTAGTGCTGTTGGATGTGATGCTTGGTGGTTGGTTGTTTTCAAGGCTTAAAGCCGATGGTATAAAACATACAGCTGCTAGTCTTCTGTGCACTTCGGCTAGTACTTTTTTCTGTGTGGCTGTGTCACTGCAGGATAAATTTGTTTGGGTTGGTTAGTCTCTGCCTACTTCAATATGTATATGTTGAGGTGAAAGCAACTACTTAATCTCCTTCACTAGGAGCCCCCGTCTGGGATGATATTTTAAGTAGGAGTTGCTTGTAATGGAACAACTCCCACTTGTGTTTCTTTTGGAGAGTCTAACAGTGGGTAAGAGTAAGACAATTCACATTATCGACAATTCTATAGGAACAGAACACTTGTCCGTTAAAACCAGGAGGTAATTTCAAACCCCCTGGTCTTTGTACACAGTTTTGATAGGCATCTGTCTGATGGAGATTAGCTCTCTGTCTAGTCCCTGGTGGTTGTCTTAGTAAAGTTTCCTGGTTGCTGCGTTGAAGGACTGCATAGAAAATGTGCAGGTAGCTTGATATGTAATTAGGGCACAGTTCAGCTGTGTCTCTACAGTGGCAATTTGTCAGGAAGGTTGTGCTGCAAATTGTGTGCAAGAGCAGCTGCTTTGTGTGAAAAAGGGCGAGCAAGATGCCGTGTCTTCTGCATAGAGCATGTGAGGTGTTAGCTGAAGGTGGGACACCCTGTCACAGGGGTATTGTGAGGTGGCTGATGGGCCTTGCTGGACCCTCCCAAGTTGCAATGTGATAGTTGGGCTGCGTGGTCTGGATCTTAAGTTGGCAGCAATGTTAGAGTAAGAGCTTAGGCAGAAAAACTTTTATTGATTATGCCTAGTGCTTTGAATTTTTGACTGTGTTAAAAATCTTTTGTATGTGTCTTTTAAAAAGGGAAAATAAAAAAGTAAAAATCAGTCTTGTAAAAGTTGAAGACCATAAAAAAAGCAGCATTTGTCTATGACACTCAAATTCGTTTTAGTTACTAACAAATGCTACATTTTTAATAAAAAGTACTCCCAGCTATTTTACTGTGATTGTCAACTCTTCTCTTTTTGTGGCAAAGGCTGGCCAAATCTTGGATAAAAAGAATGATTCTGTGTTTTAGGTAAGCATAATGAATCTGACTTAACCTCAAGCATGTAAAGGACTAGTAGATTCAATTACAGAGTGCATAGGCTGCATTTAACATACAAGAGAGATCCTAAAGTAAGGCATCCCATCACCAGATCCTCCTTGGTGGGACAGGGGGATTAACAATAGGTTTGTGCAGGTTGACTTTCCTGAATTATCAAGAAGTATGAACTCCAGATGTAGGATATCTTTAAAATATCAAAATGCCCCTAATTGAGAGTATATTCCACCCTCACCCCGTACAGTAGATATCTTTGTATAGGCGTAAGTCTTGCCATTTTTATTTTATTTTATTTTTTGTTCTGTTTCATTTTGTTTTTTTACAGACAGGCTGGTGGACAGGAGAGCATCTTCAGATAAGAATGTGGAGCCACATTCTGCTCCACAGAAAAATCCTCCTGAAGATCCCTTTGGTTCTGTTCCTTTCATTTCTCACCCAGGCAAGTTACATGTGTAACATCACTACCTCATATATACATATATATGTACACACATATATATATGTATGGGTATGTATATATGTGCATGTGTATATGTATATATGTGTATGTATACATATGTACATATATGTATATCTGTGTATCTGTTAAGTATGTACATCTGGTTAAATGACCAAAGAATGATAAAGGTGTTGGCTGCCTCATGACATTAGACGGGTCGAAGAGTTTTTCTTAGTATGTCGATTACCTCTGATTAAAAAATACTTCTGCATCCAGTTCTCGGTCCTTGTGCAGTGTGCAGACTGTGTATTTTTTGCAGTGCAAATACATTGGACCAGTGCATATGAATCGCTTGCGTAGAACCAGAAGCGCTTTTGCTAAAGGCAGATAACTTGCTAAGACCAAAGTTTACTTCCCTGCAGTCTGCTTCCAACTCGTGCTGTCGCTGTAGTTCAGTTTTCCATCCAAGTTAAGACTGCAAGCTTCTGCTGCATTTCATGCATAGTTTTGGTGCAGATTGAGTCAAAACAAACCAAATACCTTATGTTATCTGTACATGTGGAGGGGAAGGGGCTTTCATTATTGTGCTTCAGTTCAGCTTTGGCTATTTTTAGCTGGGATGGAAGTAAAAATAACACTGTATGTGAACATTAGTTGTGAATGTGAAACTGCATCATTCTGCAACTTAATCACCAGTTTCAACATTTGCTTGATCAGCACTTTTAATTTTTTTTTGGAACCTGTGCCAAAGTAAAGTCTATGTGACAGTTAAATGGTAAAAACACTTCAGTTACTTATGGAGCCTACCTAAGGTTTGTTGAGAGTGCTTGTGTGATAGAAGTGCCTTAATATGACTTTTAAAAACTATTCTTGTAGGAGTTCAAAGGCTTGGATAACATGCCTTAAAATAAACCACTTGGGGTCAACCTAAGTTAGCATCCGTGTTTCCTTTCGCTTTTGTCTTGCGTTCCTGAAGATGGTCTGCTAGGGCTGCTTAATGCTCACAAGTGCTGTGGGACTAGGGGTGGTGAAGAGTGACCAGGATAAGGCTGTTGTGTTCTGCGAGGCAATTTCTAAAAATAAGTCTGCATCTGTGTCTGCTGTTAGAAAGGCTGAATGAACTCGGCTTGGTCTGTTACTGTTTCTCTCTTTGTTCTGCTCGCTCAGAAAGAACAAGTTTGCCTTCTGTCATCCTGTTAATATTTGGTAGATCAGTACAGTGTGAAAGCAATTCTTCAGTGAAGAACCTCTGCTCTGTAGGTGCAGTCTATAGGTGGCATTTTAGAAGGATTTACCCTAGAGTCTTCATTAAAGAGGTCACTTTGTTTCATGGGTGAGCCTAAATTCACATGCAAAATAAACAGTAATAGCTATACTTAATCTGAGATGGTGACTATCAGGTGCTTAGTCTCCTGTCTTGGGTATTCATAGCCACGTGTCTAGGGATTACTTTATTTCTTTCCTCATCTTAGGTCTTAAAACCGTGTTTGCTCATTGCTGTTTTTCAGATAGTTATCTTACAGCTTAGATTGTAATGATTGGCCTCGCTGTATTATGTCCTATGTTTTGGTTTTGTTGCTTAGAATCTAAGCTTTAATTCTTGACAAACTAAAAAACAAAGGGAGATGCCTTCTCTTAAGGAAAGAAAAAAAAAACCAACAAAAAAAAACAAACAAAAAATTCAGTCACGGCTAAAAAAGCAGAGAAAAGTTGAGTTGGTTGTGAACTGTTACCTGTTTCACTGGGGAAAAAAAAAAGTCATACATTTTTCAATAGCCTTTTTTCTGCTGACTGATAACTGGAGTTTAAACAAGTGTACATACTGGCTTGGTTTCCAGGAAGGTATTTTTAATTCTGTGTTGACAGTGACTTACACTTGGCAAACAAACCTGCTACGATCGATCTTTAAATCTGAAGATAGGTCTTTGAAAAGCTGCTTTGTTTTCCCCACGGAATTGTTCTTGTAAATGTCTTGACATGAGGCGTTTGTTGTAAGACAACTAAGAAAAGGAGAATAGTGTTGACTTAGACATATTTTATTTCTAGGTGAGGGCTCTCTAGAGCAAACTTGACAAATGTCCCTAATATTTTGATTTCCCATTGTACTTAACGTGTCTGTATAATATGTTCCTTCTGATGTGCTCCTTGTGATTGTAAAAGATTTAACTGAAAAATAAACCGCATGTATACCTTACTTGGGGCATCAAAGGGAAGATGACTGAATAGCAAGTGGAACAGAGGTTTAATACCTTGAGTGCAAGTCCAGTGTTTGGGTGAGACTGTCTTGATCTAGTTAGAGCAGGAGTTTCACTTCCTTATTGTAATGTATCTACAGTGCAAATACCGTGGTATCGCTGTTCATCCAGGTTTCTGACTACTGGATTTTGACTTCTTGAATTATGATGAGGTGAAATACTGATGTTAACAACACAGGCTATTTAAAATAAATGAAGAAAATCTTCCTTTTTTACAAAGCAACAGTTTGTATTGAAGATGTGTTCTTCTGTATTAACAACCTTTGAGTTGGAACTGTGGTGTCTTTCTGTGGTGGGTTTTTGTTTTGTGTTTTGCTGTGTGTCATAGGTCTCAGGGTCATAAATGTTCTGTATGGACTGTAGCTGATCAGAGTCACACAGTATTTCTTTTGTTTTGGAGGCTTAAGGGTTCTCTGCTGAAAGCAGCACTTGACTAAATACTTCACTAATTCCTATCATCTGATGTGAGATATCAGCAAGAAGCTGAAGATCAGGCACCATCTTTTGACTGAACAGCATAACATCAAGTGACGGAAGTCCAGCAAAATAAGTGCTATCAGGTGCATTTACATGTGTCCAGGAAGGTAATGAAAGGGAGATGCAGACGTTGCAATCAGAAATCTTCTGTCGTCGCTGGAAAGGACCATGGCATGCTATGAATTATGAGTTCTTGGGATTTTTCCTGAGGAGCTCAGGGAGCTTTCGAGGCAGCTGCTGTTGCAAGGATCACCAGGAAGGAGAACCTGGACCTGGATGGACTAAGGCTGCTTATCTGTCAGAGCTGCTGTGCTTGTTCTTCTTGGGTGGGAATGGAGAGCCAGCAGCGACATGTGTGTCACTTGACATGCCATGCAGAGGACATATAGCAGTGTGAAATGAACCAACAATTTACTGGCTTCCTTGTATTATAGTTGATAGGAAAACAGTGAAGCAGCACTTACTGTTACTCACACTTGGTGTATATCCTATTAAAAGTGTTCTCACAAGTTCTACTTGTAAACTTGCTATACATGCTATTTTATGTCTATAATGTTTGTGGGAAATAGTAATGGCTTAGAACTTGGGATGGCTGGAAAAGAAAATTGGCTTGAGAAACAATTCCAGTGCTCAATCTAATAGAAACAAAACTAACTTCTTATGAAAAAGAGAGAAGAAAGCACAGGTGAATAACCAGTAATGGGGCATTTAGGACAGGCACCTCATGTGGAAAACAGATTCTGGTTCTGGAATGCCTGAAATGCTGGATAGTGGCAGTGGAACATTGGCTCCTGTGGTCAGCGTTTTGGAATGGAAGCTTGTAATTCCAGTGTGTGTTAACGAGCCTGTGTCATAACATCCTTTAATGTCAACGTTTCGGAAACTCAGGGAAGACACACGTTTTCTGCTATCTTCAAATTATAAGAAGAAAATGTCGTGAATATTGCAGTTTGCTGTTGAGTTGTACTCTGGCATTTTGCTGTTTTATGTATTCTGATTCTTGCTGGGATTAAACTGGGCTAGATTGCCTTTTGCTTCCCTCAGCTTAATACTGCAATTCAGAGAAGTAATAAAAGATTTGAGGTAACTCTCAAAAAGATGCAGATGGACTGTGTGAGAAATGGAGATGTTGGGAAACCTTGACTGGAATTTCTTCGCAAGTGCTGACCTCAAGCTGTCCACTAGGCGTTTTGCTGCTGTGGAGAATCTCGGTGAGCTGTTTTCTGGCTTGTCTCATGGGATAAGGCTCTAGATCAGGTTATCTATTAAACTGTTCTACTGAATGCTTGTAAAGCTATGGTGCTTCTTGATCAATTCACTTGTTCTTTGTAACGTAGGTAACCCCTTCCCAGTCACTGCATGCATGTTCACTTTGTCAGCTGGGGGTAAAAGTCTGTACCAGCTTCCTCTTGATTTCCAGGCTTCCTGCACTCAAAGACTTGGTAGTGTCTTTAAATTACCAGTATAGGTCTCTGCGAATAAGAGTGATTTTGTGGTGTGAATGTGACTTGCTAGTCACGGCTGTGTAGAGCTGGGAGAAAACCAGCCAGCTGCATGGCACATAGCCGCACATGGAAACCGTCTGGAGGCTTGGACTGGGTATGTCCTGGAAGGGACTCTGCTGCCACAGCTGATTGTTAGCATTCACTGTGTTACAGCAGAAAAGTGCATTCTTCTGACATGAAGAAATGTGTGAGAGACTGTTCATTTGGTTACTTTCTGTATGCTGCTTCTACCACGATTTCAAACCACTGCAAGTTCTGTACAATGGCTTTGAAGCCTTTGGACTGCCGTGCAGACTAGAGCTTTAAGTGTAACACAACTCACTACCCTCTAGGAAGAAATTGCAAACATGAGAACAGGAGAAACAAAAAGACTTGAGCCAACTTGCTCTACAACACTAAAACAGTTCCTGCCATCAGTTCATGTTTCTTTGGCCATTAATGTTCTTGAATTGTTTGTTAAAAAGTGCGTAGACCTAAAACTTGATATGGCTGTTGCACAGTGTTCCAGATTTAGGTAACCTCACAATTAGAGTAAGTTCATATCAATATTCGTGCTCACTGACAATACTGCTTGGCTTGCTCTATAACCCTTCCTTGGCTCTGGTTTCAAGATCTCTCACTGGGTGAAGATAATCTTTAGATTTCAACTTCTATAGTTTACACTTCCAAAGTAACTTGAACTTATTCACACATCACAAGAATAAATGATATGTGTGGGCTGTGCCAGTGGTGTGCTTTCTCTCTCCAAAACGATTCGGGGATC